GATCAATACAATCGTTACTAACACAACTCCTTGCTACTGACAGCGATAAAAAAGAACCACAAGTTTGGTGTTCTCTGCAAGTGTGGGGAAGCGTGGTCATTGCAGGGCTGCAGCAAGACAAGGTGGAGGAGAATGGGCTGACAGGGACCTATCTCATGAAGTCATCAACAGCAGCCACAAGCCCATGGGATGAAATAGCCCCATGCAGCATGAAAGGCTGGGGCTGAAAGAAAAACAACTTTCCAGAAATGGCACTTGGGCTCTGGAGGGGAGAAAGCTGGTGGTGGGGCAGCTGAGGCAGCCAACTGCACCCCGGGCTGCAGAGGCAAGGCTGGAGCCCACTGGGCAAGGGGCGTGATCGTGCCCCTCCAGCAGGCACCCACGGGAAGGCGCCTGCTTCAGCTCCCTGTCCTGACTTTGAGGGACAGCAAAGCCCATGCGAGGTGGTGAGGGCCCTGGAGCACATAACATGCAGAGGTTTCCACTGCCAATGAATCAGAGTATCTCAGGTTGGAATGGACCCATGAGTTCTCATGACACAGAACAACTTAATGAAGAATATTCTGAAAAATTAAAGCAAAGGAATGCTCTGCAGTGAAATTGGAGGCTTTTATCCTGTTAATAAGTTGTTGGTATTAGGAGGAGAGCTTAAATATTTTGGAATATTGTGGTTCTACCAATTAACTGATAAATCTCTTATGAATCCTCCAGGTTCTGCTGAGATGCTGCTTGAACACATTTGGTGCTGTGACCACTTCCCTGTTCTAGTGACCGACCACCTTGTCTGCGAAGAATATGCTGCTTGAACACATTTGGTGCTGTGACCACTTCCCTGGGGAGCCTGTTCTAGTGACCGACCACCCTGTCTGCGAAGAACCTTTTCCTAATGTCCAGTTTGAACTTGCCCTGGCACAGCTTCATTCCTTTTCCTCATGTCCTCTCACCAGTCACCAGAGAGAGGAGCTCAGCACCTGCCCCTCCACTGCCTTGCTTGAGGAAGCAGTAGGCTTGGATGAGGTCTCCTCAGAACTAGGCTGAATGAGCTGAGTGACCTCAGCTGCTTCTCGTCAGTCTTACCCTTGAGAGCTTCCATCCTCCTGCTTGCTCTCCTCTGGGAGAGCACACAGCCTAAGAGTGTGATGTCCTTATCCCCAGGCACCCAAAACTGCATGCAGCACTCAAGGTGTGACTGCAACAATTCCTGCCTGTTGCTGGACAGGTGGAGACTGTCACTTTTCCTGTTAATTACGGAACCACTGCTACATTTTGGCACTTAAAACAACATTGGAGTTCACTAAAAAACTTGTCCAGTGATTCCCCAAAACACAAGTGGAAAAAACGAAATTCAGAGGTGCCATGCAGAGCTGGCAATAGCAATAACCACAAATTTAAATACAATTTTCATGAGAGCCAGGGACACGACAGTAACAGATGCCAAAATGCATCTAATTACAAAAAACTCACTGGACAATTTGCAGCACTACATTCCAGGTACTGAAGAGTCTGGTTCCTTCACAGTCCAAGTAATAACACATTTATAATTAGAATTTCCTTGCTGGAAATGGGTGAATTAATTTTGACCATGCAAGTAAGAGAAGTTATTCCACAGACACTGTTTTCTCACCTCACCTACAGGCTTTGAGAACTTCACAGAGGGAACATGCGAATGCCCCTGCTTACAAGGCATTTGGAAGTGTAATAGAAAAGACTAATGCATAGCAGTGGTATAGTGGAAGCTTCTACCTGTTCCATCAGTTAGCTGACATAATGAAATGCCATTCCTTAAAATAAGTAATGAATTTAGCTAATAAGATTTTCAAGTCTTTTTACCTAATTGGATTTTTTCCAAGTCACAGCTGCTTTTCTTGCAATAATCAAAATCAACAGCTGGCCCAAATTTTATAATATACACTCAGTATACACACACAGATGCTTCCAGACCATTATCATATACTTGCACCACTTCCCCATTATGTTAAGTGGGGAAAAGTGATGAGATAGCACTGGAAGTGGTGTCATTAATTAATTTATTATTAACGAGGGTGTTAGAGTGCCTGGTTCCACCCAGACAGCCGAAGTGCCCGAGTCATAAAGACAGCAGGAGTTTCCTGCAGAGAAAAGTCTGCTCCACCTGTCTGAGGACCTCAGTGCGTTTTGACAGGAAAACCCGACTAAAAATCCTCACAAACGGAAGCTGACAATGGACATTCACGGCTCCAATCTTTCGTACAGGGGGGAGGCCACATTGCTTGCTACAGCGACCAACTCTTCCACTCCAGGGGGAAAGGGACAGATCTGACACCAAAGTAAATTTCTAGTACTGCTTCCTTTACAACAAAGAGGAAAGCAAGCAACTAAGAAAATGCCTAAATACGAGATACAGATCGACTCTTTCAAGCCGCTTAGTGAACATGAGGCACAGCGCACTAAAATAAGACATTTTGACTAAACCCACATGGCGTGCGTGTGCTCCTGCACCGAGCACACACGCCACCGCTTCTTTCCTACTTCCAGCAGGAAGGAAAAGCGGCCGGGTCGGCTGCGGCTGGATGTGAAAAATCGCAAACTCACTGACATCTCATCCCCGCGGCGAGGAGCCCGGGGGTGCCCGGGCCGGCTCCCGCTTGGAGCCGGGGCCACGGTACCGCTGCTTCGCCACCAAAGCGGGACCCGGCCTCGTGCCGGGGGCTCCCCGGGAGCGGCCCCGGGCAGGAACCGCCGCTGCTCCGAACAGAGTTCCAGCCCAGATCCATCCTCGGCTCTCCCCGACCCACCGACCGCCCCTCCTCGTTGCCTCGCCCCGGGGCTCCGGCGGGTTCAAGCCACGTCTCACAAGCGACGCCAGCTCGCTGCAGGAGACCCCCGTGCCGGGGCCGCGGGAGCGATCGGCACCGGCGCCCGGCTGCTGCAGCGGCTGCGGGAACAGGCAGCGCTTCGCACCGGGCCGAGCAGCGCCGTGCCCCGCGCCGCACAGCTCGGGGCAGACCGGGGCTGTGGGTGAGTGACGCCGCGGACGGGGGCTCTCCGTGCCTCCGCAGCCGGGTGGGCAGCGCCCCGCGTCCCTCGGGCCGCTCACCTGCTGCTGGATCTTCCCGTCCTCGGTGACCACCCAGTGGGTGGTAGCAGCAGCGGGCCGCGTCCCCGAGGCCAGCAGCGAGCACAGGCCCAGGGCCCAGCCGGAGAAGACCCATACCCGTCCCAGCCCGCCCCGCCCGGACGCTCCAGCCGCCGCCATCTTCCCCAATCCCGGCCTGCTCGCACCCCCCGGAAGCGGAACGGCCGCCGCCGCCATTTTGGGAGCGGGCGGTGCCGCGCTCTCGGCCCGGTGCGGCCGCGCCGGGGGCGGAGCGGGAGCGGAGGCGGGTCGGTGCCCGAGGCCACGCCGGGAGCACCCGGCCCGAGAGCTTGCTGTCCTGCAGCGGCCGCCGGCTGAGGGGCGGCACAGCAGCGGGAGCGCGGCCCTAGAGCACCGTTACAGCACCGCGCACCCGCTGCCCCGCGCGGGGACCGGGTCCGGCCAACGGCGGCTTCCGCAGCCCTGGCAGCCGCCGGTAACGGCCGAGCTGCTGTCCCGAGCACACGGCCGGCGTTAAAGGCCAACACGCGCCGTGTGGCGACACGCTGAACGCTTCAATTTAAAAGAGGTGATTTTTGTCCGGGGCACTGGAACATTTGCCAGGACCGGTCGAGGGAACGACTTTGTGTCCCGCGCAAAGCAAGCGGTGCACATACAGTGCGGCCACGCACACACAGTTAATGCCAGCCTTCCCACGACCTGCCTGAAGAGAGCTCTGAAGGCCACATCCCTTCTAATGCTTTTCGGTTACACAGCAAAACCTGAACTTTTCTTTCCCTGCTCCAGTTGACAGTAAATACCAACCCAGCAGTGGGAGCCTGTTTCCCCAGTACCAAGAGAAATCTAAAGGCTGCCACATTCAAATGTTGTTCTGTTCCATCTTTCTGCAGTCCAGCTTCTTGGGAACATCAAACTTCCCAGCACCTATTAAACAGCAACGTTTGTTTGCACCTCAAACTCATTAAGTAGAAACAAGAACAACTTTACAAAATGGTGGCAGTAGTTCAACAGATTTGGTTTGTATCAGCCTAGAGAAAATACTGCACAAGTATGATAGTTCCTTACTGCTGCCAGAGTTTTCAAATCAGGCGTATTAGATTCCACAAAAAACCCTAGGCTGCCCTTCCAAGTGGCTCTTGCTCTATGGTAAGTGTCAGGAAAATCCACAAACGCCAGACGTTTATGTCCAAAAAGGAGACAGGAGTCCTGCAGCTTTATTCCAGTAAAAGGAGGGAGTCCACTGAGGCACAGAGCCATGGGGTTTTTTCTCTCTATGGGTTTTGCAGGGCGCAGCCTCCTTTTATCCTAAACTGGCTGCACGTTGCCCTCTTCCTTTCCCCACTGGCTGAGGTACCAGGAAGGTACAGCCTTCCTGAACTGCCTTCCACATATTCCTCCCTTAAACCTACCATTTTACTCCAAAGTTCAGAAACTCAGGTTTGTGCACACCCTGGTCTCTTTCAGGAGCCAAGCTGTCCGGGCTCTGCAACAAACCTGCTGCCCAAAGGTAGGAGAGACATTGCGAGCCATTTCAAAGACGTTAACACCCACATCTTCATCCATCAAATTGTTTGCAGACATTAGCTTTCCTCTCATAAGGTACTAACAAACTGTATCACAGTCAACATCGAGGAGTTTGAGGAAGACAATGACTGATTCCTTTTCATCAAATTTCCAAGATACAAACATGCAGCCTTTGCCAAATATTTAAATTCCCCCTCAAAATTCTGCATTTGAAAGTTGAATTACTTTGAACTTGAAACAGTTAATGCAGTCTTATTATGATCCATTCCTTAGTGGTAAACAGCTTTCTGTATCTACAGCAACTTAAGGAGTAACTGAACTACAACAAAAAGGTACCACAGAACTTCTTTTACTAAGGTGACACAATACTGCAGAGTAACTGTGAAACAATGAGCCAAACAAAATTACAAAATGAATTTATTCCAAAGCTGTAAGGGAACATTTACAATTTAACAAGATGGTAAACAGGTGTTTTCACAAGAACTCACTATGTTAAAATTAGATAGGAAACTGGGGAAAAATAATCTACTTCTGAGGCCACAAGAGCTTTGCACATCACCTCTGAAATACAGGAGTCACACAAAGAAAACTCACCCAAAATTCAGTGAGAAAAGAAGCTGCTAGTACCTAGTTACTAGTCTAAATACAAGCTATGTTTAGGCTTTGGGATTACATTATTAAATCCCCTCAAAATACCAGTCATAGCCACAAGTGCAAAATGTCTTTTTCCTTTTTTTCCCCTCCCAATAGAAGCTTATTACATATCTAGTGCCTATTTTCAGAGTGACATTTTGACCTCACAAATTTCTTCAAAGCTTTTAGCCAAGTTTCATGGTTTTAAAGCCAAATCAGAATCTAGCAGCTGGCACGTAATGAGAAATACAAAGTCAGCTCACAGGTCCTGGAATGTCCAAAGTTTCCTACTTACTGTTCAGAGTTAAGCAAAAACAAGACTTTGAATTTAGTATCTCCAACTATGTTTTGAACTTTGACATAATTTTGGTATTGTGGCCTTCTGATTGTAGTGATAAATATCAAAGAGTGTTAATGAAAACACCTGAATCAGATATACAAGCAAATACAAATGGAACTAGGGTGGGGAGACATCACCTTCTGTGGATATCACTGGGCAAAATAAAGGAGGATAAGAAGTATTATTCACTCTTCTAAAGACTAAGTTATTTTACATCAACATGCTCCGGAACACTTAATTAAAATTCTTTTCCTGTTTTGACTTCTTTTTTACTATATACTAATTCCTTTACAATGCTGAATGACCTGAGAAGTTAAAATTTTGAGTGGTGAGAATAAAAAAAAAAAGCATTGTGCTCTTACATTGTATTTTCTGGGTGCACACCAGTAAATAAAAATCTCAAGTTGCTATGGAAAAAAATAGCATGGAATTGTTAACTTTTCCACCTGAATTGAACTACATAGCTGGAATTTTTCAATGTTACCCAAAATACAATTTTATTTATATATTTTTAAATGCAACTATTGGTTAAAAAAAAGAACCAAAACACACACACACAAAAATCACAAAACAAGAAAAACCAACCAACCAGTCCACCCTCCAGTGCCAACTAATCCAGAAATCTGCATAAAACAGAAAAGAGCCAGAAACACCTATGGTCCAGCTCCAGTCTCTGAAGCTTAATCACTGCATCAGTCTTTACCCATTCCTGAAATGATTAATCATTTATTGTTTTGGTTTTTTATGCTATTCATTTACTGAGATTTCACGGCATAACTATATGCACATATTCATATTAAACATTAAAAATTAATTTTCAAAACATCACTTCTGTATTACAATGCACGGAGAAGAGTAAGATGTGCAAACCAAAAAATGCCACATTCTCCACATCTCTAAGAAAGTAGACTGCTTCATGCTACAAGCAGAACAGATTTCCAGCCATGTTGCAAATTTTAAAAAACCAGCATGTATTTCATTCAATTCAATTAAAGAAAGTAAATCAAAGCAAATTTAACAATGGTACTCTTCTCCACATATTGCAAAATATGGTTACAGATGAGGAAAGGATTACTTCAGCTGCTAAGCTTATCTAACACATATCTCTGTTGTCATGCCTTTCCTGTCCATTACTTAATACATAAACTCAATTATATATTTCAGTTATGCAGTAGCTGACTTTTAGGTTAATATACAAACTGTCAAGATGCAGCTTTTGATGAAACATCTATGCTCTTTTCCAATTTTGAATCTTGAAGACACTTCAAAAGAAAGAACCCAAAACTGCTGACTGTAAGCATCCAAAAATACAGTTGTAGTTTCACTATGGACAAGTCGTAGTCCGTTAGAAAAGTAGATCATACATACAAAGGTATAAAGAACATTTAAGTCAGTCTCAATGGAAGGCAGTCCTTGAAGAAAACAATGCTCCAAGCAAACTTGCTGAGTAGCACTTTCACTCTAGCCCTTCAGGGGCATGGAAGATTTAGCAGTCTTCTCAGTAGATTCTTCCTCGGCTGCGATTGCCACGTCCTCCCCAGCCTCGTCCTCGTCCACCTCGGAAACCACCTCTTTGCTCTGAAATAAGAGGTGAAACTTTTCAGGCAGGTTTTATGCTCTATACAGATCCAAACTGAATAGCAGGATCTGGAGGTACTGAAGGGTAACTTCAGTCTCTAAGGCTATGCCTCCTTATGGACCATGAGATTGCTGAATTATTTTCTGATGGAAAATGGACCCCACTAATTTTAAAAGGAGGTCAGGAGAATGAGCCCATCCAAATTAAGTGCAGCCTTTCTGCATACTAATACTGTGATACATAACTGTCCCTGTAATTTAGGACCATATTTGGGCCAATACATCACCACAGAATTGAAAACTGGCTGCCTAGCTCTTCCTCCTGTTCAATAACACAATATTAACCTTGAGGTGTCAGTCTGACTTGCTACTAGTGATTTTATAAAACTATGGAAAACCAGAACTGTCTTTCTGTCTGTCCTTTCCTACCCTTAACATTAAGTTACCACCAGTATATTATTTTTTCTGGGGCTGATATCATCATTCAGTTACAAATCCTAGCTAAAGATGGATACCACACAAACTATTTGTATACTGTAGAAAGTTTTTCCTTTCTCTTTGTTAAGAATATATCTGATCACAGCAAAAAAATCCCCAACAACATAAACCCTAATAAGTTTATATAGTTTCTTTGGATTTGTTTGAAGGTGTACCAAACTCTCATTTCCCTTTCATGATTTCTCTTAATGTATAGTCTTAAAATACAGTTTATATTAACCTACAGAGAGAACTGCATGCTGACTGATAAGGATAAAGCATCTCACTAACAAGAAACAGTAGCAAGCAATAAAACATTCCTGGTTGAATGTTTCCCAATCTTTAGACCTGCAGGATTACAAGCTTATCTTAAAAGACACAGGTGGGTCGCCTGAATAAGAATGAGAATAAGAAATTTGCACATGGTGTTATCTCTTCTCTTTTCTTTATATATCTGCCAAAGCTTTATTATAGTTTTTCAACCTGTGGGTGTGGGTGACAATTTGTCATAGCACTCTTTACTTGCCAGAGGTAGGACCAATGGGCCTACAGGAAAGACAGGAATGGGCTGCTGCCACTGCTGGTCCTGCTCATTCAGTCTGCGACTGCTCTTGTGCTTCACCCAAAAACATGACTCGCAGAAAGGCAGATTCCATGTGACTGGCAGCACGAGGACATAACTGTGTGTATGCACAGTGAAATGGCAATTCCCAGAACTTCTGGAGCAGGTCTGCAACATCAGCAGTGGCTGCAATAGGAATGCAGCACAGGTCCAGTCGTATGACAGGAGGTGACCCAGCTCTGCATTTGCTGCAAATGGCCTGTTGAATGGGAAACTCGTGCACTGTGTGTTGTAACAGAGAACACAACAGCTCAATTACTAACTCTAGGTATGAAAACACTACTAAAACTAACTTGCAAATGACCTAAGTCATAGGCTGGTAACATTCAAACACTGCAATACATCAACAGCTGGAAGAGACCATCACAAACAAAAATTCATGACAGTAAAACTTGATCTTCTATGAATGTGATATTTATTGCCCCACCCTAAGACACAACTGTCACTAGACAAAGTTTTTCCAAGCTGCCTAACTTACCGTAAGAAAAACTACCCAGGTTACTGCTGTATTTTCCACTGGGAGGATTATATATTTGCCTGGCATCCCTTTTTGGTCCTGCTGAAGCTTTCTTTGGAGGTGAACTTGAGGTTGTGTCTTCACTTGTTCTTTTTTGACTGACAGAAGAAAACAAAAACATATCATTACACCCCTATGGTGAGAAGTACAGTAATACTAGCTCAGCCACAAAGATTACCCACTGGAAGCCAGCAGCAGCCAATGATGATGCCCTGAATAATAGTATCTCACAACAGCCTCCAGTTGATTGTCTTTAGTATCCCTAAAGCAAGACTAAGAGCATCTCACCACAGCCACAGCATGGGTGTTATTTTTGATATGAAACTTTTCACTCTCATGCTGTCTGTATTGTACAGACACAGTTTGGGAGGTTAATTTTTAGTGCTTACAAAATAAACCCCACTGTTTTCTTTTATTGTATGAAGAACTCTTACCTTGCATCTGCCTTCTGTACTGGTTTCCAGGACAATGTAACTGTACTTTTGTAAGAAGGAGGAATGTGGAAGAGATCCTATGGATGCAGAATTGGATAGTTTATTCTACAGTTAAATTTATGTCAATTGCACTTCAAAATTTTAGCTACTTACTGAGACTCCAGAATAACCACTACTTTCCAATAATTGTAAATCCTTTAGTCCCATGGCAGAGAGAGAAGGCAGTAGAATACTGCCTTATTTGGCTGCCTTCACTAGGAAATTCAAGTAGGATTTAATCTTAGCAGAATAGTGTCTTACACTGACCAAATACAGAATCATAGACTAGTTTGGGTTGGAAGGGATGTTTAAATACCATCTACTTCAATGACCCTGCAATGAGCAGGGACATATTCCATGCTCAGACCCCCATCTCATCCAGCCTTGAATGTTTCAAGGAATCTACAGAGAAAGCCCAGGCTTTCTCTCCTATCTTGTGCACATCAAGCATCTTACAATGAACTACAGTGGCTCCTTCCAGATGGAAGACATCTGATATCCCTACGATGTACAAGACAGGCTTCTCAATATGGTGGGCCAAGTTTTTGGTTCATAGTTGGAAGTGAGAGTGAAGAAAGAGAGGAAAAGAGGGTTAGAAGAAATCAGAATGGTTTCATGGGCTCCAGATGAAAGTCTCTTTCTTGCAGCCCATCTCTTCTGGGCTTTTTGGAGAAACAGGTTCTGTACAGCAGCTTGCTTTGCCTTCCTCCTTCCTTTATATCTCCTTGTATCTCTTTGAACTATTCTGTACTCCTCACTGACACTGCAGGAAAGGGAAATGAGAAGAAAATCCAGAGACCCCCAAAGAAGCAAGGTGTCGTTTTCTGGGGACAACTAGTGCTGCACAAAGGTGTATCCACACCCTATCCCAAGACAATTAGCAGCAAAAGCTAAGCTGCTGGTAGGATCAGCAAGATCCACCTCTCTTCAGAGAAAGTAAAGTAGCACCAACTCTGAGCTGGCTACCTCCAACTAACACAATACACAATTACACAAAACGACTTGGTTCAAAGCTATTCCTTTCTTCTGCATAGGTTACTCTGCCGTGGGAATTTAGTCCTTCATTATGTGAGGACTTACCTTGATTAAAACATTAATGTTATTGGTTATTTTCAAGGCAACCACTTTAATCTTGTTCTGTAAAAAAAAAACAGACACCAATGAGCACCTAGTAGCTTTATGCCAACCTCATTACATGAAGCTCTAACATTAAATTCACTGTTCTTCCTAGTGAATTGCTATAGTAACACTGATAGTGAAACGTGTGACACTTTCAAGTTTTTATCACACCTGCTTTTAAGATTCTTGTAGTTTCACACTAACTAGTTGCTTTTAATGTTCCAGTGTAGTTCCCACTGTGTTTCATTTTGCTCAACATATGAAAATTTCCCCTTCAAAACGAAACACAGAGCACAATGAAACCAAATATGGCTGCAGCAAGCAAGCAGCTGAAAGCCAAAACGAGATCATCTTCACTTGCAAAATGTAGCATAAGGTAACATGAACTTGCAATAACGTTAGCACAATTATTCCCTTAATCTATTTGCATACTTAAAACTGAGTGCAGCCTATTAAGATGTGCCAGTGGTTCTTTCCATAGGCTCAATTAGAAAAATACGAATTCCTGAACAATTCTTACCTCCTCTGTTTTCAAAGCTTCTCCTGTTTTTCCTTGAAGTGCCAGACGAAGCTGTCGAATATACACCTGCAACCCTCGAGCAAAATACTGCAGCCTACAACATTTAAAAGCAATCCCTTAGTAAAATTTACACAGTCCTATAGAAATAAAAGCATAAGCAAAGGAAAACGGTAATCTTGCTTCTTCCCCTTTAAGAAAAATGCTCAAAGTATGTCTTCCATCAATCTGGTTTGTATTTCTTTAGCATCCAGACAGTAATTCACACTTTTCATAGAGTCAGGGAATTATAAAGGTTAGAAGAGACCTACAGGATCAGCTAATCCAACTGTCACACCTAAACCATACCCCCAAGTGCAACATCTAGATGCCTCTTGAACACTTCCTGAGACAGTGATTTTACTACCTCCCAGGGCAACTTATTCCAGTGCCCAACCACTCTTCCAGTAAAATATTTTTCTCTAGTATCTAATCTGACCCTTTCCTGGTGCAATATAAGGCCATTTCCTCATCCTTTCAGCTGAGACATGGCAGAAGAGACCGACTCCTACCTCACTACAACCTCCAGTCAGGCAATGAGGTCGCCCCTGAGCTTCCTTTTCTCCAGACTGAACAGCTCCTACTACCCCAGCCATTCCTCAGGAGACTTGTGCTCAGACCCTTCCCCAGCTCCACTGCCCTTCTCTGGACACACTCCAGCACCTCCATGTCCTTTCTGAAGCAACGGTCCCAAAACTGGATATTGCATTTGAGGTGAGGCATCACCAGTGTTGAGTGCAGGGGGACAATCACTCTCCTGGTCCTGCTGGCCATGTTATTCTTGATAACAAGGTCTGGATGTCACTGGCCTTCTCAGCCACCTGGGCATACTGCTGGCTCATACCCAGCTGGCTGTCAACCAACACCTCCAAGCCCCTTTCTGCTGATCAGCTCTCAAGCCACTCCAGCCCAGGGCTGCAGTGCTACATGGGGTTGTTGTGACCCAGCTGCAGCACACAGCAGTCCACCTTATTACATCTCATGTAGTTGTCCTCAGCCCATTGATTCAACGTGTCCAAAACCCTCTGCAGAGCCTTCCTACCTTCCAGCTGATCAACACTCCCACTCATCTTGGTGTTGCCCACAAACTTACTGAGGATACAGCCAATCTCCTCATTCAAGTAATTGATAAAGATGTTGAATAAGATGGGCCCCAGTACTGAGCCCCAGGGCACTCCACTAACATTTTTTAACAAACACCTGGTAAAAGAACATTAACGCTTGCCTCTAAATCATTACCTGATTTTGAAGTCTTTCAATTTCTCTGCATTCAGCTTGGATGTGAGGAAGTCTGGAAGTTTGCGACCTAGCTGATGGAAGCTGTACAACAAACACTCCACATAACTGAATTGCAACTTGGGCTCTTCACTGCCAGCATTTTCCCCATTTTCTGCTTCCTCTGGTGGGAGTGGCATATACTCCTGAAGAACAGAAAGGAAAACAAATGCATGAGACACATTTATGCTGAATGACAGCTCTTTCACAGTGTCTGAACTGGATGGTTTATCTGTACTGACAATTTAAGAAGTATCCACCATCTCTATACTAATGGATGAAGTACTGAATAAAGTCCTGGTGCAGGTGGCTTACCTACACTTCTGTGACTTGACTCAGAGGACACACTATGGTGGCACAACTACCACAGGAAGCAATAATGTACTGCACCAATGCTTCTGAAAGAGTGCTGAATATGCTTAGAATTGTCAGTGCAGATACAGTGTTTAATGACATTAACATGAGTCTCTCATGACTATGAAATTTAAAAAGAAGAAACACACGTGAGTTTATTGGCTTAAAAACATTATTCAGATAACAGATCTCTATCTACAAAGGCTTTAAATGGAAAAATTATGTTCAACCTTCTATCAGTGGACAGGACTAGCTCTGAAATAGCCACTTCAGAAAAAGGATAAAGAGATGAATACATAAAAATAACTTGTTTTGATGAAAACTTAATTTCTTAGTGTTTTATATGAATAAAAACTGAATTAGTCTTACCAGTAATTTATCAAACAGCTTCTTCAAATTTGATTCAAGCTTTTCCATATCACCACAAAATGAACTCATTTCAGCAAGAAGCTTCAAAACCTACACATAAGGATAGCCAGGTTTTTGTGTGTTAACTGAAAAGCTTAACATTCAACTTAAAATCAATTATCACATCACTATGGCTGACACAGTAGAGGCCAGCTATTACAACTAAACCCCTCCCAAAACAGCAGGAAGCAATTCAAGGAAGAACATGCCTAATTTGTTTTTCCTGTCTGTAAAGAGAAACACAGGTTTGTGCGTGTAATCCCAACAAGCATTAGTCAACAAGTAAACAAAACTTAATCTCCCACATCTGCAGCACATCTCACCTTCAAGTGAGAGCCACAGAGATCTAACTGAAGTCGTAGCACTGATTAATGTAAACAAATTACAGACATTAAGCCACTCCCTTAGGAGGTTAAATTAGCCCAAACTATGCAACCATCATTTCAGTAAATGCTATGTGCTTAAAAAAAACTGAGAGTAATATAAAAATGATTACACTGATCTATTATTCTACCTTGCTTCAAAAGCTTGGGACAGATGACACACGCTTTAAAAGGCAATGCTCAGTCATGCCTCAATAGATCAAATGTTTTTTCTAGTGCAGCTACTTTTCCTACAAGCCAAGAAATGAAAACTACTTGAGGAAAGAGCTTGTGATTTTTAAAATAGCTGTCTTTATCTAGGATGGTTACTTTTAACTATTTGGAAGACATTTTAGCTTTGGCTTACCTCTAATTGGATATCAAGACCCTCCACTAGAGTAGTCAAAGAGCTGAGGTTTGGCAGAACATGCTCACAGAAGTAAGTAACAAATTTTGTGGAATGAACATTTTTCTGAAAAAAAAAAGAAAACCACAAACAAACCATCACACATTATTCATGTTACTCTTGACCCTGAAGGAGCTAATTTTTTTCTCCCATCAACCCTCCACCCTTATAAATGCCTGCCCACAGCTGTACCTTAAAGCTTTATAAACTTCCCTCTTATTCCTAAGACACAGACTTCCTTGCAGGTAGCCTAAATTCAGAGGATGACCACAACAGCAGCTGAAAAGATTGCTTGCAACCCAAGAATAGGCCCTTAAGCTCTGCAACTGCCTGGCACTAGACTTGAAATAATCAAATTCATACAAAATAATGTGAGAATCTTGTCATAATTCACCGTAACAGCTTAAATTTGAAAAGAGAAGAGAAAAACACAAGGTATCTTTGTGTTTGGGGGTTTTAAGGATGTTTTCCAACATCTGGATACATTAGAGGTTAAAAGTGCAGTAGTACTAATTTGTGGTCTTTCAAACACAATCATTGGGAACACCAAAGCCAAGCTCCAGCCATTAGCTTTCCTCCCCAGTCCTCGGGCACAGCGAGTCAGTACGCACAGAGAACAAGGGCACTGCCTGCCGCGTGCACTGCAGCAGCCTGTCCACGCAGTCCGTGTCCGAGGGGTTGAACGTTTGCTCCAGGTCAGCCTGTTCAGCTACCAGCTCCACCAGCTGCTGCCTCCCACTGACTGTCTGCAAGCTTTTTAATCCAGACAATATTTTCATAAACAGAACAAATTCCTCGCCTGTTACATCTTCCAGAACCTTAACAAAAAAAAAAAAAAGAAAACATATTTTTGTGGTAACAATTTGTAAACCTCCAAGTCATACCTACCAAATTTGAAAAGGTAAAGTATGCAAATATTTAGCATTTAAATTTAGCATGTAGTTATTTAAAAACACAAGTTTGATGAAACACATGAAAACATTCAGTATAATTGAATGTACCTACAAACCAAAGCAACTGGCATCAAGTTGTGCACAAGAAAGTTTTTTAAACTCTAAATTGAGAACAAACTCCTATCTAACAAAAAAAAAATGCTTCAGGCAGAATAAATTTTAAACAAGTATCTAATCATTACTCCTTGTTTTAAAAGCTTTGGCATCTTTCTCAACTTAGGGAATGCATGGAAATCTCCTAAGATTCCACAAAGACAAATGCCAAGTCCTGCACCTGGGATGAAGCAACTTCCCTGCATCAGCACATGTAGGGGTCTGACTGTCTGGGGAGCTGCTCTGCTGAGAAGACTGAGGGTTCTGGGGGACAGCAGGCTAAACAACACACAAACAAGTGTGACAGCACCATACCCTGGCTGACAAGCAGTGTTCTGGGCTAAGGACAAGAGCACAAGGAAACAAAGGGACAGAGGACTGACAGCTCCTTGGCTGGGCCCTCATCTGACCAAATGTGGAATACTGCACCTAGTGTTGGGTTCTCCTCTATGAGGAGGTGCTTGATAAGCTTTAAGAAGGCAAATCAACAAGGTGATCTGTGTCTAGAGCACACGAGCTGTGAGGAGAACATAAAGCAATCAGCCTTTTCCAGCCTAAAGGAAGAGAGCTGTATGTGGGTGGGGCAAACTAACTAATCTTCCAACACTTGAGAACAAGACACTGCCCATAGCAGCCAGGTTCTTTGATGAGGTGGACATGGTCAGAATGAAACAATGACACAAAACTAAAATGCGAGGTTTCAACTGGATAGAGGGAAAGAAAAACATCTCCCAAGGACAACTGAACATTGAAGCTGGTTGCCCATAGAGTACAGGAACTCTCCATCGTTAGAGCTTTTCAAAACCCAACTGGAAAAAGCACTAAGTCTGATCAGATTTCAGATGAGCATGATTCACTGAGCTGAACAATCTCTCAAAGACCCTTTCCAATGTGAATGATTGTGTCCAATTCTAATCAAAGTCACTCTAACAAAATTAGAAGAGCCATGGTTTTAACATTAGCACAAAAAAATGCTGCAAACTTTGAAGTGTATCAGAATGATTAAGTACAAGATGATGTTTGTACAATGCTCAAACAGACCTCCAAAGCAACACCAATGATAAGGGATGGTTGAACAATACTTGAGTTTGAACTGAACTCAGACACTCACCTTCTTTGATTCAGTCAATATGAACTCCTCCACCTCCTTTGTCATCACTTCCTCTGGTAAGGTTTTCAGTTTTGTAGAAAGGAACTTAATGGCTCTCTCTCTCACAATATCCTCTCCCTGAAGAATTTGACTGAATAAACCTCCCAAAGTCCCTGAATGGAGAATAAATTGGGTAACACAAATTATTTTAGAAGTTATGACCTGGACCAAATTTTATGCAGATGGAAGAAGTTCCCTCTTTTAAGATTCCATGACACATTTTAAAATAACTGCTATACTAACTTTTAAAAAACATTACAATTTTCATGTATCTTGACATAAAAATCCACACTCTTTTATTAGTCTGCATAATTCAGCTCCATGATTATTAAGTTCAGTACTGTTTGCAAAACCAAACTATTAGTGTGTGTCTCAGTTTTGCACTGCACCAAGAAGACACAAAATTGAGTCGTGTTCTCATCTTACTGCAGACTGGAAAGTATTAAAAAAAGCCATGTATAGAAAAAGGTGTCCTTTACCTTTAGCATCCATCTTAAATATACTGAGCAAGGCATTGTTCACCAAGTTGAATTCTGCAGAATCATCTGGAGAGAGAAAAAAATTCATATACACTTGAAATGGAAAGGTAAGAGCAGAAAACCAAAATGGCTAATACTGCACAAGAAGAATTCTGTCCTCAGCATTTAACTATAAACAACATAACCTGTATTTTTAAAAAAACTATTAGACTGAGGAAGTTCAAAGCCATGATTATGGAAGTAAAAAAAAAAAAAGCTATTTGTCACTTTAGCCTCCCTACCAAAACTAAACCTTAAAACTTGACAGGACTGAAAATTTGAAGGGAAGTTATTAATCTATATATTTAGTTATTTTAATAAACAAGCTAACTTTCACTTAATTAATATAAAGTACATAGTTATTTACTTTTAAACTCTTTATTAATCTACAGTATTTCTGTGTGGCAGCAACTATTTCTCTCTTAAACTAAATGAAGAAACGCATAAATCTCAAAAAACCCAAACCAAAATCTACCATCTTGAGAAGCCCAGTCTTAACCATGCAGTTTTAACAGAAGTTTGAACACCTAATATTTAGTACTTTATAACTTACTGAGATTAAATGTACATTAATTTCTCAATTTACCTCCAAAATATTTATTTTGCACCAAAAATGCACCTGTATGGAACAAAATGCCCTCAGGCCTTTTCAGGTTCTAGAAATGGGATGAGAAATTCAGTAACTCTTTTTCAGAAAGCAATTTGCTGCAGTCCACAACTGGAAGGTTCCCTCCCCCTTGCCCTTTTTTACAGATGCTTGAATGAAAAAAAATTGTTCTATCTAAAAGAAAAATTTTTGGTTTGGATTAGAATAATTAGTGCTCTTTCAGCCTAACCATACAGCAAATATAAAGCAGGAGAAAACACAAGAAGTACATCAACAGCACTGGGATAAATTATTTATCAATGAAAAATGTTCTACAGAAGCAAAATTGTGTACATATTTAGGTGTGCCTTGAGATCAGCCAGGACGTGTCTCCTACCTGACTGCAGAAGCTGGGTCAGTATGTCTGCTACCCGAGGAAGATTATCTCCCGTGGCAAACTGAGGCAATTCCTTGATCGCTTGTCGCCGGATCTGTTGAAATTGTCAATAATGCAGAAATTTAAAAAAATTTAAAATTTCAGAAATTACATAACACTCCAAATTCCCTTATTTTGACATATTTATGAAGAAAATAATATATTTTTCTTAGAGCTAGGCAGCACTAGAGAAAAATTAAATTCAAACAGCACTTCTATTCACAAAATAATTCATATGATCAACAAAATAAAGGCTGGAATGTGTGTTACTAAGGAGTTTTATTTGCTGACAGGAAGGACAGTTCTACAGTTGTGCATATGGCAGGGATAAACTCTAGGGTTTGTTCCCAGCACTGAGTAAAATCCTTGAATGATCTGTCCAAATCCCTTAAAACATGATAAATGGAGATGCTCCAAAGGTACAGCTTCTACCAGCACCACAGAAGCAGCATGAAGTATCTCAAGAAGCACAACAGTTAGAATCACATCCCTGTCGTTCTCATGTGCAAACAAGATTCTGTCTCCCAGGAGTATTTTTCAGAATCAATTACCACAAAGTGCCCTTTGATAGGAAACCATGTAAATGCTATTCAAATAAACTGTAAGTTTCTTTCTACAGAGCTATTCTTTTGATCACTGGTGAGAGCTAAAAAAGATAAATGAAAAATGCATCTTCCCAAACCATCACACAATGAATTAAATGCAAAAATACAATTAAATTTATATTTTCCAAAGACCAACCCTCCCAAAAGACACAGCCCATTAAACAAAAAGAGAAAACAACAGCAAAATATAAATTCAAAGTATCAACTTGCTACAAGATTCTTATTCTTACAGAAACATCTTCATCCTCACAGAGGTCCAACTGGGCGTTGATAGCTGAGTCAGCTAGCTCAGGAAAATGCTTGAAGAACTTAGGAATAAACTGGGCTGCAAGTCTCTTCTCCTTGGTACCTCCTTTCACTCCATCCAAGATCACCTGGTAGGCATCCTTATGCTAAAAAAACAAAACCAGAATACATAAATGGAAAAATCCTGGCTTATTCTCAAGACAAGGAAGGACTTTTTTCTCCCATTCTCTGAAACTATTTAACAGAACCATATTATACAAGCTTCTTACAAAGGAATATATTTTTCTCCTAGACTGATATAACCACGCCAATTTGGTAATATTTGTCTCTGTTGCCTGGCTTTTACTGCTATTCTGTCAGTTCAAGCGTGTACCGCTCCAGCTGCCGGCCCTAAGGGTAACACCTCTTGCACAATGTGATTAGATTAGTGCAAGAAATTCTATGATCCCTGCCACTGAACTTGACCAGTTTTTCAAGGAGTTTCTGCCTTTTGTATGCTCAGGATTCGCTACTTCATGTCTCTGAAGTAGAGATTACCTTTCCCAGTAACTGTGCCACTGCAGTGGATCACGAGTTCTTATTAACATATATGGTGCTAAAGTATCCTTGGCATCTATTCAGGTAGTTAACTTCACCTGGAATCTCTGCTATCTATTCAGGTAGCTAATCTGGCATGAAATACAGTGCTTGGAAGAACTGTTAAGGGAAACTAAACTTAAATCCCAGAAACCTTCAGTTTTAAATATAGAAATATACATTTATTCCAAATACAGGAATAAACACTTCAACAACAGTAAAATTTTCTCTAGCTGCTCCAACCAGAATCACACAGATGCTTCTGATTCTGTGCCTGCAGGACTGAAACTTTAAATTAATTGAAGTCTTTGTTGTCTAGCTGTGTGTTTGTGAAATAGAAGTCAGCATTATTAGGATACTATTGGGAATTGGAACCTTCTAAGATTAATTGTCCTCATGGTTGTGAAAAGGAATGCTTAAAACAGCTTATTCTTTGAACACCAACAACCCTGACAGCACAGGACACTTTCTTTGCTTTATTTACATTAAATTTCCCAGAGCCATATATCTCATCACCACTACTCCATATGAAAGTTGTCCCATAGCAAACACAGATACTAGTTTACAAAGCAGTACACTGCATTCTAAAGAAAGCTGCATTTTACAATTTAGTGCCCATGCTCCTGAAGCACTCCCTACAGCTTGTTGCCAGAATCTGGAGTGGGATACAGATCTGGATGAAAAACAAGAAGTGAAAGAATCAGCTGCCTCTCAGCTAAACCACATCACCACCCAGTTCCCTCTGTAGCTGGGCCAATGCAGTGCACGCAGCAGCAAAGGCAGGAACGAGCCAGCACAAACTGGCCATGAAAACACTCATCAGAACAGACATGGGTGCATGTTAAGAACAAGTTCTGTTGTACAACACAAAACTTAACACACATGAAAAAGCATTCACGTAGCAATGGAACAGAGTAGCCTGTGTTCCCTGCATTTGTGTTCCTGTATGCTAATTACTCCTGCCCTGTAGGCAAAACACAGTTCAGGCAGGAGTTTGTTTTATCTGCACCTGGCAGCATGGAATGCTCTAGAAAAACCACAGGCAATTACAGAAGCAGTGTGATCCTTCTGTTTTGTGCATTCCCTTCCCATCAGTTACAAAGGAATGTCCTAAGCTGGGAATGCTCTAGAAAAACCACAGGCAATTACAGAAGCAGTGTGATCCTTTTGTGCATTCCCTTCCCATCCGTAACAAAGGAATGTCCTAAGCTGCAGACGGTGTCCAGACCTTTGTTTTCAATTACTGTTAATTGCCCAATCATCCATTAACTCCTCTAGGTTAGTTCTTGAGTCAATTCATGCCCTGCAGTGCCCTGTCCCAAGTTGCACAATGCGTTATGAAGAAATGTTTGTCTTCCTCTTTATTTTCAGCCAGCTTCCTAACAGTTTTTTTCAACTTCTCACCTTCATTCCACTTGTGACAGCACCTGTCCACTTGTGGACACCTCATACCTGAGCCCCTTTCTCAACTGAAACACTTTTTTACAAGCCCAGTGCTTCTCTTGATGCCATAACTTCTGGCAGCCCCCATGCCCATGCTCAATGTTTTTTTGTATCAAACAGGGTGATCATGACGTTTTGCAGTAAGAGATCATGTTCACGATGTTGTTAAGAGATAATAAAGCACTAAGGGATAAAACTGATGAACAAGGAGCAATTAGTCATGGCTTCTCAGAATGCAGAAATTGGAGTCGCCAGGCAAAATGACAAATATAAAGAGGTAACTGTCACAAAGGTTAACAAAACAATGACAAATGTTTTTGCACAGAACTTTTATATGCCAAAAGCACACCCAGTTCAACAAAGCATCAGGACAGTTCACTGAAGAATAACCTCACAAGCTATGCTCGTTATAGAGACACTTCCTTTGGCTCTGGGAACCCAAAAGCTGGAGAGGGGCAAAGCTGGAGAGTGTTTTAGGAATCCCCACTCTATACTTACCCTCAGAGGTTCTTACACACCTACCCTGTCACAGGCTGCATTTCTCACCATGCTGGAGTTTGCTCTGCCTAAGATGGCCATTCCTTCCTCACAAAAGCTACTCACAAGAAGCAAAGTGAGATGAACTTTGCATTTCTGAAGTGGCAAGGTAACAGCATGTTTTACTCTGCACCTCTCCCCGCAGCTCCCTACATTTTATTTGCACTTTGTTTTTGGCTCTGAGGTGATGTTTTTGTTGGACTGTCTGCAAGGATACTTTGTTTCACTAGGGCATAACCACACAAGCAAAGTGAAGGGACCTGAATTAAAACAAAAAAACCCCAAACTTCAACATCCCCCTGCCCTCCCAAACAACCACCAAAATATTTGTTCTCTTAAAGAACTTTTTAAGTGACATTGTATAGCAGCGTTCTCGTTTAGTTTAAAATCCACGGTTAGATACAGACATGGCAAAACTACTTTCCTACTTACTGACATTAGAACCAAAAGGAAAAAAAAAAGTATCTTCTGCGTTTTCAGGGGGCCATTCGGGAAAATGAGGAACTAATGCAATTCCAAAAGTAGTTGTAACTAGCCATAATATTTTCTATTGGTAATATTCCAAGTCATCTTATTTTCTAAAATAGTTCAGTAACGATATAAACAAATGGCAGATCTTGCCAAAATTTTACAGAAAAAATATTTTTCAGTCTTGAGGGTCACCCTTATGCTCTTGCCTCAAGGAAGAAAAAACCAAAGGGCTACGGGCAGCTTTCAAACCATAACAGACCTCACCTTCCCTCAGCAAGTCTTTCAGCAAGGCAGCCTGCCAGGCGCCCTCCAGACCTGCAAGTGCGCTGGATCTGCAAGTGCGGTGTCAAAGACTTCAAGGCCCGAATTCGCCAGGCCAAACTCCCCGCCCCCTTGGAAAAAACAGCCTGACTCTAGCTAAGACGCGGTTAATATCCGAGACGCCGCATTTAAAGGAGAGCTGCCGACACGACGCGGATGCTGGAAAAACGACGGGAGCTACTGCGGTCCCTGCAGATCCACGGGCGCGCTGCCCATTTCTACGCGCCCTCCGCCGCCGCCGGCCTGAGGAAACCCACGCCGAGCACAGCCCCGGGGGCTCTCCGGCTGTGCGGCGAGGCGAGCAGCCCTTCTGACGGCTCTCCGGCCCGCCCGTCCGCCCCCCTCGGCCCGGAACTCCCCGCCGCGGCGCTACGCAAGCCCGAGGCCTAGCGAGGCCTTGCAGGCCGCAGCCACACCGCACCTGGCCCGCCGTCTCCGTGGCGTCCGCCAGGATGCCGTAGTTGCGGTAGAGCTCCTCCACGGTGGGCATGGCGCGGCGGGGAAGGGGCAGAGCCACCGAAACACCGAACCCGCCACTGACGACGACGCCGCCGCCGCTCCGGCCGCTGCTCCCGCTCGGGCCGCGTCGTCAGCACCAGCGAGACGCCAGTCCCGGAGCGGCCGCAACGGGGCGGCACCGGCACCGGCACCGGCACCGGCACCGGCACCGCGCCCGGCCAGCGCCCGGGGAGTGCCCGAGGGGCCGCGCTCCCGCAGCGCCCGGCCTTAGGCTGCTCACCGAGCCCTGCGTTGTCCGCCCCGCCGCAGGCTCGGGCCGGGGCCGCGCTACGGGCTGCGTTCCTGCGCTCACAGATGCTCCACGGCCTTCAGCTCTTGAAGTTTTTTTGTTCGCCCCCTACCTCTCCCCGGGTCTTTCTTCACACTCCTCCTTCTCCCTCCCTTGATTGATGCCTTTCCCCAGCGCCTCGTTTCTGCATCCCTTTTTGTCTGTCCTATACAACCACGTTGGAAGGTGCTCGGGAAGTGCCTGTTGCACGCTGAGCTCCTAGTACGAGACGGAGACTGCTTTCCTGTGATTTGGTGGCTTGCATCTTTTCTTGCAGAGGAAGATGCTCCTTAATTCCAGAAACTGAAGTATCTGCAGCTCATGCCAAGGAAGGCAGCATGTGTTCTTTAGGCTTTAATTGCCAAATAGAAATTGTGGCAAAGGTTTTAAGGCCATAGCAGTGTCATCTCATATATCAATATGCTTTAGCCTCCTACACATTTCACAGGCATTTAAAATGAAAGAGGATTCCGCTTATGTGACTCTGAGGCTGAGCTACACAAAGCACTGGACCTGTCTTGAATATCCTTCCCAGCAGCATGAAGGATGCTGTTGGAGGCATCGGAAGCTCCAGCCTGTCTCCAGAGTCCATGCCAGTAGTCCGCATGCAGCAGGGATGTACAGCAGCATCAATCATTTACCTTCTTCCATTTTTTGTCTATTCAGTGTTTTAGCCAGTGGCAGTAGTGACAGCATCAGTCACCTTTCTGCCCTTCCTTGAATTGAGATCCAGTGCCTTTACCTGTCCACCAGTGGATTCACGTCATTCCTGCACACCCTGATGGGGTCTGAGAGTGTGGAAGCTTGTGGCTGCTGTCAGATCCCAGAGAGCTCTAACCACATCCTGCCCCTCGATGTGCTTGTGGCCATCACATTCACCCAAAGTCATCTAAAAAGAATATGCTGGGTAATCTTAGTAGTGGGAACAAAATGTGACATGAGAGAAGAAATATTTTTAATGTAACAGAAGAGCTGCATGCTTAGGAGAACCTCTCATTTTCCAGGGAGGGAGGGCTTCCTCAGGCAGCCTGGTGGATATTAAGAGATGTCAATCTCTTGCCCTCCAGCAGTTTCCAGGCAGCATTGCATCTGAATGCAGATTTTAGAATTCACTATAATCATCTTTATCAGCACTACCACGGCAAACTTTTACAACTTGGCCAGACAGGAGGAAAGATGTACATTTCATTAAACTGCCTTTTACTGTCCCCTGCTGAAGTGTTAAATAGATGGAGCTGCCTTGTTATCTCATTTTCTTGCCTTTTTTTCAATCAAGAATGCTCTATCAAACTCTGATTACATTCCATAGCAAGCATGGATAAACATGTAGCATTTATGCATTGTTCTATCTATGGCAGTTGTGGAGAAAAAAGAAGCAAGCGTGAAAGAAAATGGTTGTGAGAGGGGCTGTGTACCTTCTGGGAAAGGCCGGCTCTGCATTCTGTAGCAGAGCAGAAGGGATGCTTCAGATGGGAGATGAATCCAATGGACTTTGGCTGCATGGCAGGGAGATTGACTGGTAGGGTGGAATGGTAAGCAACTTCAAAAAACTATGATAGCATTATGTATTTTGTTACAACTAACTGTTTTAATCACATTTTTATAACATCTATTAGAGGCCTTGGAATTATACTTTTCTACCTTCTGTAGCAGTAATACATTCAGCTGTTCTCATTGTCTTTCTAACAGAGAACACACAAAATGAAAAGGGGTATTCAGAGTCGCATTAAAAAATTGTTTTCTCTGAGGTTTGTTCTGTTTCCATCCTTTCATCCTGGAAATTTATTTCCTCAATTACTTCCTTGTTTCTTTACATTATTAATTTCTTTTTTTCTCGCCTGACAACAATTTCCATTTTCTAGTCTTTAGTTTTCACCTATTTATGAAATTTATATAACATTTTTTATAATGAACCTCTTTAAAATTAATCACCTTTAGTCTTTAGCTTTTATATGAAAGGAAGATAAATGAGAAGCTGATACTCTTACATGTTTTGCAGAAATTGTTTGAAATTATTTTTCAGTCAGTAACGGATCTCTATTAAATTTGTGATATTTTTGAAAATGCATTTTTAGGAACTCGGAAGCTTGAAATGCACATTTGAAAATGACACACAGCTTTTTCAGACTCTGCAGTGCAAGTCTCATAGTTTCACAAAACAGGGTTAATCTGGCCATGAGTCAGGATTTTTCTCTCTTTTTTCTTCTCAATCTCTGCAAACCCAAGCATGTGGTGATAACCCTGTGGTAAATTTGATAATGAAGTGGTGTCATTATACATTTGACTCCCATTCCTGTGCACTGCCCATAAATCAAGTATTCTGGAATCACTGCAGGTTCTCCAGAGGAAAAATAATTTACTAGTGAAATTAATGAACTTTTCTGTTTTTCTCAGAGGAAAAAAATTATTATTCCTATCCCATAAGTGCTCCGGTCTTTGGTGGAGGACCAGCTTCAGACAAAAACATAGATGGGGCAAGAAAAGACTTCTATTATGACAGAAGGAGAAGACATGCTTAATGAAAACTTCACACTGGAACAGTGGTCTAATCCTATGAACCAAACCTGGAAGGTTTCTGTGAATAATAAAGTGACTGAAATAGAGTCCACTTGTTGGCTTATTCTGCATGAGCAATTGCTCCTGAATTCTTTTAATCTCACCTTTTAGAATTGGGCTTGAGTCACTAACAGAGGTTTTACACGTGAAGGGGTACAGCAATTAAAAATCTGTGGCGAGCTTTTCAGAAAAGGGTGATCAGACATCACAGGGGAATACAATGAGTGCATAACTGTGTTTGTAGAAGTAAAGCCTTTCATTGGCACACACTGAAGGTATCCTGCCTGGCTACAAGCACCTAGCTGCTGTCTTCAGACAAACGCAGGTTTTCCACGAATTCCTTCTCGTGCGATGGGGTTTTCTTGCCAAGTTTCCCCCTTGGCAAGGCAGGATTTCTCCCGCGGGGGCGGCGGTCCCTGCGGCTGGCGCTCGCGGCGGTGCCGGCAGGCGGCGCTCGGGCCCCGCGGAGGAGCCGCTCCCGGCCCGGTGCCGCTGCTCCCTCGGGAAAAACGCCGAGTCTGCTCCAACTCGCCTCTCCAAATTCAGCCGAAAAAGGGGATTAGAGAAATAGAGCCGGCTTTTTCTTTCTCTCTGTATTTTTTTTTTCCAGGTTGCTGCCTTTGTACACAGTCTGCTTGTACCCCTCACTGTTTACCCTGCCACAGTGTGTAGGAAATGTAGAACATCCTTTTAAATGCTTTATGAATGTGTTTGTAATACTCCTGTCTTCTACAATCCAGAAGCTCCCACAGCCCCCCCATTAACTGCGCTCAATCAGCACTCTCGTTTGCAGACCAAAATGCTGCATGTACTTTCCCCATGGGCAAGGCTGGCTAAAGATTGAAAACTCAGCCCTCTTCAGAGTCTTTGATTGTCTTGTTTGTGTGGAACATTCATACAGCAATATTAGAGACAAAACATCTTGAAGAATTAGAAAATGGGACTGTGAAATATGATATTTGGCAAGAAGAGTTAAAAGCAACATAGCATCCACGAATTTTTTAGCTCGAAGAGCATCTGTGAAAGAGGAACAGCTGACTAGTTTATACTGAGTTTATGCTACTTTTGTTGAAAAGTTCCGCAATGTGTACAATGTTGGTTAGGACAAATTAATAGGACAGATAACAGGTACTCCATCCTTCATTGAAAAGACATAAAATGATTGTGATGTTACTTTTCTACAGGCTGAAGTTTGGATGCATTGTGCCTCTTTGCTATGATGATCACCACTGATTTGCCATGCCATGATTCCTACCTCTTGGGACATTGCAATGTGAGTCTGTTGCTTCTGGGCTCGCTCAGAACAAGTTTATCTCTGAATTTTGCCTCCAAGCTTTTGCATTTTCACGCTGCCCATTCACGGTTCCCCACAACATCCTTCTCTTCGGACTGGAGAGTGATGGATTTGATGGGTGGACTGTTAGATGGATTGGGAGTTGCTTGGATGATTGCCTCCAGAGTAGTCAATGGCTCAGAGTCCCAATGGGCATCAGTGATGAGTAGTGTTCCTCAGGGGTCTGTATTAGGCTGAGTGTTACTTATTATCTTCATTAATGACACAGAAGATGGGATCAAGAGCACCCTCAGCAGATGACATCAAGCCAAGTGGTGCAGCTGACACACATGAAGGGCAGGATGCCATCCAAAGGAAGCTGGACAAACTTGAGCTTCCCCTGAGCCCACTTGAGATGTGGGCTCAGGGGAATATAATGAGGTTTAATAAGACCAAGTGCAAGGTGCTGCACCTAGTCTGGGGCAATGCACAGTATCAATACAGGCTGGGGGATGGACAGATCGAGAGCAGCCCTGCTGAGAAGGCCTTGGGGGTGCTGGGGATAGGAAGATGGACATGACCCACCCACGTGCACTTGCAGCCCAGAAAGCCAAATGCGTGCTGGGCTGCATCCAAAGCAGTCTGGCCAGCAGAGCCAGGGAAGGGATTCTGCTGCTCTGCTCTGCTCTGCTCTGGTGAGACCTTACCTGGAACTCTGGGGTCCTCAACACAGGAAGGATATTGTCTTATTGGAGTGAGTCCAGAGGAGAGTTACCAAGTTGGTCAGAATTTTGTTTCTTGTAAGGGAAGACTGAGAGAGCTGTGATTGTTCAGCATGGAAAAGAAAAGCTTTGGGGTGAGATAACTGCAGCCTTAGAGTACTTGAAGGGAACTTACAGGAAAGATGGGGCAAGAGTTTACAAGAGTATGTAGTGACAACACAAAGGTGAACAGAGTTCAAATCGAAAGAGTATAAGTTTTGATTAGATATTAGGAAAAAATCCTTAAC